TCTGTTGCTTTTCTATCTTCCTCCAAACTACTTCTATTTCTTTACATTTCAGTCCACGTGTTACAACTCCCTTCTCCTTCAGAAATGACTTGTCCTCAAGTCTGAAAATCTGGAAATCTTCGCTTGAGCTCGTCCAAGAATTCCCAAGTAGCATCTTCTTCCGCTTGGTGTGTCCATTGTATCAGAACTTGCGTGGCTGCTGCATTACTTCTGGCCACAACTCTCCTAGCCAAGATCAGCTCTGGCTCCACCTTCAATCCACCATTATCATCAATCTCTGGCAAAGCTGGTTGTGTGTGATATTGTCGACCACGAGCTCGTTTCAGCAAGGAGACATGGAATACTGGATGTATGACAGACCCCTGAGGCAATTTCAATCTATAGGCCACGCTACCAATCTTCTTCTCGATCTCAAAAGGTCCATAAAACTTAGGAGATAGCTTCTGATTCAACCTGGTCACCACAGAAGACTGTCTATAAGGCCTGAGTTTCAAGTACACCCTCTCCCCCTCCTGAAACGACCGCTCAGTCCTGTGAGCATCCGCCATTTGCTTCTGGCGATTCTGAGCTTTGGCCAGATTTGCTCGCAGCACACCAATCAGCCGATGTTGCTGCTGAAGCCTATCAGACACTGCTGCCACAGCAGTTGAAAGAGGATTGGTGATGGAAAACTGGGAAGGAGCATAACCATAGAGGGCCTCAAAAGGGGTACCCTGTAAGCTCGAATGGTAGTTGGTATTATACCACCATTCAGCCATGGTTAACCAGTTAGCCCACTGCTGAGGATGATGATGAACCATCCCTCTCAGATATTCTTCCAAGCAACGATTGACCCTTTCAGTCTGACCATCTGACTGAGGGTGATAAGCAGTAGAATAATGAAGCTTGACCCCTTGCAACTGGAAAAGGGTAGACCAAAAGGTGCTTGTGAACAAGGAATCTCTGTCAGAGACAATAGTCTGAGGCAAGCCATGCAGTTTGAAAATTCCATCGAAGAAGACCTGTGCAACTGAACTGGCAGTATAAGGTTTGGCCAAGCTGAAAAAATGGCTATATTTGGAAAACCTATCCACCACCACATACACTGCTTCCTTGCCTTGAGACTTAGGTAATCCCTCAATAAAGTCCATGGAAATGTGTTTTCAGGCCTGATCAGGAATAGGCAGAGGCTGCAGCAATCCAGGGTAAGGCACATTCTCAGTCTTGCACCTCTGGCAAATGTCACAAGCCTGTACATACTCTCTCAAATCCTTCTTAAGACCAGGCCACCAGAAGTAACGTTTCAACCTTTGATAGTTGGCTTGGAGACCAGAATGGCCCCCAACAGGAGAGTCATGGAACAATTGCATCAACTGGGACCTCATGTCACCCTTAGAACCCACATACAAAGAAGCCTTGTGGTATAGCAACCCTTGTTTCACAGAATAAAGTTTTGGCCCTACCATAGGAATAGCAGCCTCCATCATCAACTCCTGCACCACTGAATCTCCCTCATAGGTGCTGTCAATCTCAGCTAACCAAGCAGGCAAGGTAGCTGAAATAGCCTGGCAAGAGCCTGAAGTAGTCAACCTAGGATGTCTGGACAGGGCATCAGCAACCTTATTGAACCTGCCCTGTCTGTAACGAATCTCAAAATCAAGCCCTAACAGTTTTACCAAGCCCTTCTTCTGTATTTGTGTGTGAATCTTCTGGCCTAGTAAGTGCTTTAAACTTTCATGGTCTGTGATAATGATGAACCTTCTTCCTTCCAAGTAATGTCTCCATTTGGTAACAGCAATCAAGACTGCCTGATATTCTTTCTCATATGTAGACAGACCTTGCTTCCTTGGACCTAGAGCTTGACTGTGATAGGCCAGAGGTTTTCCACCCTGTGACAGCACAGCTCCAATACCTATGTCACTAGCATCAGTCTCCAGGACAAAAGGCTGGGTGAAGTCTGGCAATGCCAGTACTGGAGCATGCACCATAGCTGACTTCAACACTTCAAAGGCTCCCTGAGCTGCTGCAGACCATTGAAAGCTATCTTTCCTGAGTAGGTCAGTGAGGGGCTTGGCCAGTATACTATAGTTCTTCACAAATTTCCTGTAGTAACCAGTTAAACCCAAAAACCCCCCTCAAAGCCTTGATGTTTTGAGGAACAGGCCAAGCTACCATAGCCTCCACCTTACCAGGATCAGTTGCCACCCCATCATGATTAATAATATGGCCAAGGTAATCCACCTGAGTCTGTCCAAATGAGCATTTGGAAGGCTTAGCATATAGGGTATGAGACCTGAGAATGCTGAGAGTGATGGCTAAGTGCTCCTTGTGACTGTCTTGATCAGGACTGTACACCAAAATGTCATCAAAGAAAACCAATATAAACTTCCTCAAGTGAGGGGCAAAGATCTGATTCATAAGGGCCTGAAAGGTAGCTGGGGCATTTGTTAACCCAAAGGGAATCACCCTGAATTCATAGTGCCCTTGGTGTGTTCTAAAGGCTGTCTTATGCTGATCCTGGGGATTCATCCTGATCTGATGATATCCAGACAATAAATCCAACTTGGTAAAGAATTTTGACCCCCTTAACTCATCCAACAGGTCATCAATTACTGGTATGGGAAATTTGTCTTTAATAGTGAGTGAATTCAGTTGCCTGTAATCAACACAGAATCTCCAGGAACCATCTTTCTTGAGAACCAGTAGCACAGGTGAGGCATAAGGACTCCTGCTATCCTGAATATACTGGGAATCCATCATCTCTTTCACCAATCTATCCATCTCATTCTTCTGTGGAATTGAGTATCTATAGGGTCTAAGATTCACAGGTTGAGCATTTGGTATAAGAGGAATGGTGTGGTCACATGATCTAGCTGGTGGTAAGGTCTTAGGTTTTCCAAACACATCCTTGAATTCATTCACAACAGATTCCAAGAATTCAGGAACCTTACCTGCATTTGCAGTTTCCACAGAGATGCTGAACAAATGACCAACCAATGTAGCTTTAGTCTTCCTTATCATTTTCTGTAAAGTCTTGCCTGACATGGCCTTGCATTGTGCCAAGTCCTGAACCCCTTGCAAGGATACTTCCTGCCCTTCCCAGTCAAAAAACAGCTGCAAATTGATGAAATCAAACTTGACTGGGCTGATAATTTTCAACCAATCTAACCCCAGAACCACATCATTTGTTCCCAGGCTCAGGACTCTCATATCAAATGTGAACTTGTGACCCTGCATCTCCCAGTTAAAATCCTTGCAAACCAAGCTACTCAACAGCATGGTCCCATCTGCCAGTCTGACTCTCAGTGGAGTCTCAGCCTGAACCAACTTGCACTTGAGATCCTTAGCCTTCCTCTCACTCAGGAAGGTATGTGTGCTACCAGTATCTATGAGTACAAATATCCTCTCATTCTTAACTTTGCCTTTTACAATCAAGGAATTGGATAGACCCCCACTGCTTAGGGCCTGCATAGAGACCTCCACCACCTCAGGCTGTTGGTCTTCTGCTAAAACTTCCTCCATGTCCTCCTCATCCATCACACTCCAGTCCTCTGGTGCCACAATCTCCCCATCATCAGCCTGCATCACATTTAACTGTTTCTTCGTGTCACACACATGACCAAAGTAGTACTTGTCCCCACATTTATAACAGGCTCCCTTTGCAAAGTTTGGTCTGGTACTAGTTGATGCCTGAGCTTTTCCTGCGTTTGGTGGACGACTGCTAGGCCCTTCCCATTTCCTCGCACCAGAGCTGGTACCTTGTACCACTGGTGGCATAGTCCGCATACCACTGCCCAAACCAAGTCGCCATTTCCTTCGATTAGCCTCATTTGCTGTTTCTGCTAGTTGTGCCAATTGGAAGGCATGAGCTAAGGTTGCAGGTTGCCACATCTTAATCACCGGCCTGAGCTCTTCCTCCAGTCCACTGACGAAACTGGAGATGAAATACTGCTCGCCCAAGGCTGGATTGTAACGAACCATCTGCGATTTTAACTCCTCGAACTTCTCCTGATAGTCAGCCAACGATCCTCTTTGACGCAACTTATTAAATTCCTCTACAATGCTTCCAAATTCTCTATCACCAAACCTGCCACACAAATCCCGCACAAATTCGTCCCAAATCCAATCCCTGTGCTCAAGTTTCCATCCCTCAAACCAGATATCAGGACGACGGTCAAAGTAAATGGAAGCCATTCGGACTTACTGCTCATCAGGAATCGCGTAAACGTCGAACAACTTCTCACATTTCCGGATCCAATCCCTAGGATTATCACCCCTAAACTGAGGAAAATCAATGCGAGGCAACTGGATCTGATCATTACCTCGGTGAACTGGACCTTGCTCTGCATCCGGATTGTTCTGAGCAAAGCCTCGCTGTTGCTGTGGTGGAACAGCCCCTGGCCGATGAACCGGCAGAGGTAAGAGAGCCCGGCCCTCATGACGAGCCAATTGCTGATCGGCGGCAACCTCCGGCCGAACTTGAAGAACCTCCAGTCGCCGGATGATCTCCTGGATATTCTGATCCATTTGAGCAAATCGCGCGACTGAACGATCCTCCATTCCATCCAAGCGAGTGTTAATCACCGCAAATTGTTGCGAATGACCTTCCGATCTCGCCATGATCTCTTGCAGTTGAGTCGATTGAGCTCGATTCTGATCCTCCAATGTTGTGATCTGATTGTGAAAAGTGTTTTCGGCTTCCATCGTCCGATTGGAAAACGCGCTCAAACGATCATCGAGTTGTCTCACCGTCGTCGCCATGGCCGAGAGATGGCTCTGATACCAACTTGTCACGCTCTGGACCGGTGAAGCTCTCGGCAGTGGAAGAAGGAGGAGAAGAAAGGGAAAGTAGCAGAGAAGAGAGAAGAGAGAGAAAGTAGTGAGGGGGGGGGGGGGAAAGTGGTTGTTGTATTCAGATAGCCGTTGTGGGTTGTTACAGCCTCTTATATACACTTTGCCATATTTCCCTTTTGGTCCCTACATTTCTGTTGCTTTTCTATCTTCCTCCAAACTACTTCTATTTCTTTACATTTCAGTCCACGTGTTACAGCCGTCTCTGTTTCTGTTCTCTAAATCGCCAGTCGCCCTCTTCCTCACCTTCGCCCGCGAGACCGCCGGCGGCGGCATCATCCAGTCATTCTAGTTTCCCCCTGCTGCACGAGGCAAAAATTTTCCACCGAATCGGAAATAGCGCCGTCGGCGGCGAGATAATCGCGACAGGTCTACCAGTTCCTGTGCCATCTTCCTCGACGGATGCTGCGCCATCTCTCCGACGAAAGCTGGCAGCTGTGGCATGTACTTCTCTAATCGAGGGACACCGTGTAGTCACTCAAGTCTCTCTTCCCTTCATTCTTCACATCCCCCATACTCCTTGTGGAACTGGATGCATTTGCAGTAGTTGCTCTCTGATTCCTTGATTGGCAATGTGGAAATCACCGGCGATATCTTGCATTGTGAGTCCCTCCTTTTATTCCTTATGTTGCTTCTTAAGAACTCAAAGTGCCAACATTGTCAAAATCCATGTTGTCTTACATGGAGTGTAACAGGTTAGAAGGTTAACTCGAGCGCGATTGGGAGTACAAACTCTTAGTTCTAGCTATGGTTCAATTCCGCAGGCTCAATTATCTGATAGAGAATATGCAAACGATCGGTGCTCTTCAGAGGTATCACATTGAATTCAATTCAGAGTCACTTTCACTGTTTTTATGGATAGTTTTATTGGTTCTCCATAATTCCATTCAGAATCATTTGGTGCCTAATTGAAATTCCTGTGTGTTTGAAAGCCCGTACCCTTGGGAAACATGAAAGCCTGCTGGATATGCCATGAGGCAGGCAAATCGTTTTGGTGTATGAAATATAAAGATAGCAGCTTCTATTGTCATTTTCTACTTTCAGTCTTGTTTAATTGATCAGTTGAGCAGGATTCCATAACTGAACCCTTCTTCATCTTTTTCTCGATTGATCATTTACTTATGGTTATACCTATATGTTGCTGTCCTGATTGACCATCTTCTCGCAACACGGCAGGCACAATTCAGTCATCAAGCTGCATTCCAAAATTTGGATCAAAATGCTGGAAGTGTGCAGAAGGATAAAATAGGGAAGAATATTTCTAGAAAGGAGAAGACTGGCTTTCTTATTAACACAGTACGCATTTGAAGAGTTTTCTCAAGCTTCTTTCTGCTTACGTTTGTCTACATTGAGAACCAAAAGAAAAAGTTTCTAGGAGTTGAGAATATACTTTTTTGCGTCTTCTTTGAACTACGAATGATTTAGCATATTTGGTATTCTGATGATATGGGCTTTTGTGCTGCATGTAGTTAGTTAGGAGCTTGGCTTTCCACACTTGTGATGCACTTCCCAGTTTCAAGATAATCAATTTACTTCACCATAGGGTAGCTTAGATTAAATAAAAAAAAGCCAAATTTAATGAGCTTCCTAAACTTTTCTACTTGCCTAACATCATGATCCAGTCTCATAGATCCAGTAGTACTGTAGTAGTAGCAGTCGTATGAATAAAATGGTAAGAACATTGAAGTTAGGAGAAGCATCAGTAGAAATAGAGCCTAATATGCATAGAAGACATTATCTATGTTCACCATAATCCAAAGAAGCTTAGCTTCTTGCTGTATGTTGCTTAAAAAATATAGTTATGATAACTGCACTTTGTCCCTTTTAATAATTGTTCTTCTTTGGTATGTTGGGTCATGCTGTTAACTCTTATAGGCAAGTTAATGAATCCCTCATATCTGTAGCTCATGGATCTCAAGGATAACAAAGAAGGCATTTATGGTGCTCTGGATGCTTGGGTCGCATGGGAGCGGGAATTTCCCATTGGTCCTCTTAAGCATGCTTTGCTGGCTCTTGAGAAGGAACATCAGTGGCATCGGATTGTTCAGGTGCAAACCATTTTCTTTCTGTTACCGTATCAAATTACATTCTAACTCATTTGTAGAATATCCTTTGCATGTACTTCACTTGTGTGTATGCCCATTTTCATTAGGAAGCAAAATTCAAGTGCTAATATGTCTTCCCTCATCGACTTGCCTCTTTATACGTTTCTTGAGTTCCTACTGTGTAGGTTAAGCTTTAGAAACCAAAAATTCGAATCATTCTGATAATGCTCAATTTGTTGGACCTGTTTTGTGCATTTCCCCTCATTCCATGTTAATTTTCCTCTAGGTGATCAAATGGATGTTGAGCAAGGGTCAGGGAAACACAATGGGAACGCATGGGCAATTGATACGTGCGTTGGATAAAGACCACCGAGCAGAGGAAGCACATACTGTTTGGGTGAAGAAAGTTGGTACCGATCTTCATTCTGTGCCATGGAAGTTATGTAGCATGATGATATCGGTATACTACAGAAACAACATGCTAGATAGGCTTGTTAAGGTAAGCTGCTAGTACTTACTTCTTCACTGCCTGCAATCAACTCAATTCAAGACTAATCATGATTCTGCATCTTAAAGCTTTTCAAGGGCATGGAAGCATTTGATAGGAAACTCTATGACAAGGTAATAGTCCAGAGAGTAGCCAATGCACATGAGATGCTAGGGATGCCAGAAGAAAAAGAACGAGTACTCCAAAAGTACGCTGATGTTTTCGCTGAGAAGAAGCAACGATTTGGGAAGAGATCTATACAGTCCACTACAAAGGAGAAGCAGGATAAGATGCAATGATCATTAGTCACATGATTAAGTCAATTTCAGTCATAGATTGTAATTTTTGTATGATGTTCAGGGAATAAAAAAATGAAATTTACATTACACGTCACTAATTTTGTCTACGTCATCATTTTTGTAAGACATGTCAGCACATTCAATGTTAACTAACAGATAGCTACAATTGTCTAGCAAATTAAAACGTTTGGCTATTTTAGACATTTTTAATGATTTTGGCTATTTCAATTCAAAAGTTAAATGGTTTGACTATTTTTATGTATTAACCTTTGTTTATTGTTTTTTTTTTAAATCAATCATTTTGCTTTAATAGTTATTTGAGCCTAGAATGTTCTGATCATCTAATGTATAAATGAGGCTCATTGAGCAGGATGCACGATTGTTGACGAAAGGCATTCTTGAGAGGTCTGCAAAAAGGTTCTCAGGTGGTTGTCTAAGAACGCCCTTCAAAGCTTAAGTCAGTGAAGAAATAAAGAAAGAAAGTAGTTTAATTAGTGAGAATGAGTAGTTGAGTTTCCATAATGTTGTCGATGAGGTATTTATATTCAACTTACTGATGGTTGAAATTTAAATGCAATGTCAGACATCATTATTTAGAGATGTCACATCCGAACGGGAACGCCTTTGGCGTTAATTAATGTTGCAACCGGTGGATATCGAGAAACATGTCTTATGTGACCTTCGTGCCTCGATGATGATAAATAAATGATAGTTTATATTGTCAGACTTTTCTGTTTACATCTTGTCTAGTGATAGCCGCCTCTAGAATTGTGTTGACAAGTGAGGTCCTTGTGTCTAACAAAGTTTAACCTACTCATTTTACTTAACGTTATATATGAGTATATTCGGATTGGAAAGAAATACCATATTTCATCCATGTGTTATGTGTATTTGTCATTTTCATAACTTGTATTTAGAATGATCAGAATACATATTATAAAACATATCTGTACCAAACAAAGACTTATTCGGATTGAACAAATAAAACATACTTCATACGTGTGACCTGTGTTTGTGTATTTGTCATTTCCACAACTTTGTATTCTCCACATTTTCACTATTTTATTATTTTCTTTCATCTACTTTTCAGAATGTGTGCTCCAACTTTCACTAACTATTCCTTGACTAAATGACTGTTAAGCCCAGTGAATAGCCTAATTCAGAGAGATAACTCGGTCTTTAGATACTCGATTTAGTTCCAAGTCTTTGATATCCCTCGGAGACTGACAAGAGTCAGAATGGGTACTAACGAGCATAATCTAACCTCTTCCTTTCAAAGAAGGTCTCTGAAGCACAAATTGACCTCAATTTGAGTCGTTAATTAAGTGGGTCTTTATATGCTCCATTGAATGCCACGGAGGACCATCCTCTTAACAATAGCCAGTGAACCATAACTATATTGCCGCCTCCCGCGACATTTAATGTTGCGGCGTGGCAATCCCGATGCGGGTATCCCTAAGTGGTCTTCATGCCTTGGTAACTGGAGACAGACCCGTTGCCCTTCGAGCTTGACATTGGGCTTTCATCATCCTACAATCTCTTGATCTGTATCTTCAATTTTTGGAAACTTAAATCTGTTAAACCCCCATCAATAAACTTACAAAACCCTTCAAATTGTATCCCTCTATCGTCGAGGCTTTTGTCCCAATAGTATTTGGCCCAATAGTAACCTAATATTAGAAACTTCCGAACTTGTCTTGTCTTTGCTAGGCCAGGCTAGCGTGCAGGTGCAATGTGTATAAGTGAATTTTTCTTCTTAGAAATAATGTTCAGGAGGTAAATTGGTTCTTCTAAAGAGTTTGCTTCTCTATGCAAGTGTTAAAAGTATATTCATTATAATGTAATACACTTGGAACATACTCCCAAGTCAAATTATTGTGTCGTCGACGACGATATGGACCTTCCTTAAACTACTCTATATTAAGCCAACGACCCCTTCGAGAAAAGAAAGGACCTGGAACCCTACCCATCGACGACCCTTTTGTTTCTTTCCTCGAACAAGAATAGAATCGTTGCACCTTTAGATTTTAAAAACAAAACCAATGGGCTGCAGCTTCTCTATAATTTACAAGAATTCCAAATGCGTCCTGTTGTTCGCGGTTTAATATAATGCAACATGCATGGGTACGTGGATTATATATAAGCTCAACTTGCCCACGTACAGTAGAGTTGGCGCCGGCGGCGTAATTGGTATATATTACTATAATACCAAAATTAACATATGCGCGCAACCGCATGCAGAAAGAAATCTCCCTCCTCTTGCCTCAATCAATCAAAGCCATCAATGGAACCCACTCGATCTTCTTCTCCCGTCAGTCAAATCCATCCTCTAGCTACCACTTGCACCCTGCCGCCCTGAATTTCCCCCGCTCCATCCCTTCACCTACAAATACCCATCTCAAACTCCACCAAAACACACCACACCACCACCCAACAACACTACAATATTCTCGCCACTCGTCATTCATTCATCAAAAAAGTAACAACAAAGCAGATCACTTGATGGCGGACCTCTTCATCACCGCACTGGCTTCCGTCCTCCTACTCGCCTCCGCAGCATTCTACCTGCTGCGGAAGACCACCAACCGCCGTAAGTTCAACCTGCCGCCGTCTCCGCCGTCCCTGCCTCTCATAGGCAACCTGTTTCAAATGAGCAAGCTTCCCTACCGCTCCCTCCGCACCCTCGCCAAAACCTACGGCCCACTCATGATGGTCAAACTCGGCTCCATCCCTTACGTCATCGTCTCCTCCGCCGACGCCATCCAGGAGCTCACCGACAAGGACCACGACGTCATCTTCTCGGGGAGGCCCCAGTGGAAGTCCTCCGACGCCCTCTTCGGCGGCAGCACCGACATCATCTTCTCCTCCTACGGCGAGTACTGGCGCCAGATGAAGAAGATCTGCATGGTCGAGGTGCTCAGCCAGCGGAGGGTCAACCAGTTCCGCTACATTCGCGAGCAAGAGGTCGAACACCTGGTGGGCATGCTCCAAGACGCGTCGAAATACAAAACCGCGGTGGATCTCAGCGAAGCCATCTCCACGCTCACCAACACCGTCATCTCCCGAGCCGCCTTCGGCAAAACCTACAACCAACAACCGATGGCTGACGGCGTTAGTAACGGCGAGAAGAACTTCGTCCCGCTGTTGAGGAGAGCGGTGGACATTCTGGCGCAGTTCTGCTTCCAGGACTCGTTCCCGATCCTCGGGTGGGTCGACGCGTTGACCGGGTTTGACTCCAAGGTCAGGAAGGTGTCCAGGGAAGTCAACGACTTCCTGGACACGGTCATCGACGACCACAAGAAAAGAGTTGTGGTCGTCGCGGAAGATGATAGTCATGATGGTTCCGATCACGTGGAGAGGCAGGCCGACATCGTGGACATCCTGCTCAGGGTGCAGAAGGAGCGGGAGCTGGAGTTCAACTTCACCGACGCGAACATCAAGGCGACGCTCCTTGACATGTTCGCGGGAGGGACGGACACCATCGCGACGACGCTGGAGTGGGTGATGTCGGAGCTGGTGAGGCATCCGACCATCATGAAGAAGGCGCAGGAGGAAGTCAGGAGGATTGTTCTGACGGGATCCGAGAGGAAGTCGGGAATCGACGAGGCGGATATCAGCCGGATGGAGTACTTGAAGTGCGTGGTGAAGGAGACGCTGAGGCTGCACGCGCCGGCTCCGGTCTCGCTGAGGAAGACGTCGGAGGATGTGGAGCTGGGAGGGTTTGATATACCGGAAGGGACGATGGTGATGATCAACCTGTGGGCGGTGATGAGGGATCCGGAGATTTGGGAACAGCCGGAGAGTTTTGTGCCGGAGAGGTTTTTGGCGGAGCCGTTGGATTTTAAGGGACAGACGGGGAAGTTTGTGCCGTTTGGGGCGGGGAGGAGGTTGTGTCCTGGGATGACGTTGGCGCTTGTGGAGGTGGAGCTTGTGGCGGCGAACTTGCTGTGTTGGTTCGATTGGGAGCTGCCGGAAGGGGTGGTGGATTTGGATATGAGTGAGATCAATTCGGTGGTTATTCGTAGGGAGACGCCGCTTTCTCTGGTTCCGGTTCTGAACTCAGAGTGATCGTGGAAGAGGAAGACTCATTTCGGAGATGTGATTTTGTTATTTGATTTATAGTTTAATTAGTTGCTCCTGTTTTAATAATTTCCAAAGTTAATGCTTCTTTGTTGAGCTTCAATGTGTTTTGAATTTTCGATACATACTTTTTTGCTAAATTTTGTTGAACAATAATATTTCTTTTTCGTTGAGTTATATCAATGATATGTTCCGAATCTAAACTTTAATCGCAATAATATAATTCCGACAACTGACTCAGGATTTGCTTTTGTTATTTGTACTTGGAAATTGGAAATCTCAAGTTAGAATTTAGTCAATTAGAGATGGGAGATCCACGAGTGTCTGGTTCCAACCATGGCTGGAGAATAGTGTCATCTTGGTGGACTACTGCACCACTGATCTTTCTGAAGAAGAAAAAGAGTCAAATGTGGCGGACTTGACCACAGACGACGGGGAGTGGGACCGGGATCATTTGAAACAAGGCCTTCATGATATCGCCTTTGCTGCTATTGCAGGGATATGGATGCACCAAAACCGCACTTGGGAGAAGACAAAACCGTTTGGGGACTCGAAAGAGATGGGAGATTCAGCTTGACGTCGGCCTACCAACTTGTGGCTAATGATCTTGATGCAGAACGTACACAACAACACTTGGAAGAGTCTCTGGAAATGGAAGGGGCCAAGTAGAATCAAGCACTTCATGTGGCTTGTGCTACAAGATCGCCTCTTTACCAACAAGAAGAGAACTATAAGAAAAATTACTATGGACAACTCTGCCCGCACTGCAAGCAACACTAAAAGACAATTGAGCACATTCTCAGAAGCTGTACCAAGGCCAAGAGCAATTAGGAGAAGATGCACAACAAGATTGTGGAGAAGAACGCACAGTTACCGGTGCATGATTGGCTGGTCGCCAACCTCTGCAACTAGAAAACAGGAGTGGATTTTGGTATTGTCTGCTGGCCCCTATGGAACAAAGAAAAGAGGAGGTTATGGATGGAAAGACCTTCTTGAAGGATGGACTTATTGCAAGGCTAAGGCATGGTTTAACATTGTCTAGCAGGCCTACCAGAATGCAATGAAGGTGACTAATACGAAGACTAGGATGCGAGTTCTCAGAAAGATGGGCTGGGAACCTCCGAGGGAAGGATGGATTCAACTCCAATCAGACGGTTTCGTTCTTCCCCGGACAGGTAGCGCTGCTGCAGGTGGACTTCTACGTGACCACTAAGGAAACTGCAGGGATGCCGGATGCCTTTGTCTGCAGTCTTGGAAACTGCTCTATTACCGCAACTGGGCTCAAGGGAGCGGTCGAGGGACTCAAACTTGCTTGGAGGAAGGGATATCGCAAGGTTAACCTTAAAATGGACTCCACCACAACGATTGACATCATCAAGAACTGTGACAAGGAACGATGATCACTGCCATGGAAGCATCTAATTACAGTTTAGACATCTTTTGAACCTCGAGTGGGAGGTTATTGTTTCTCATGTGTACAGGGAGGCCAATTTTGTTGTAGATTATTTAGCAAACTTGGGCCATAATTTTGATTTTGGTACACATAATCTCAATGTTAGAGATAGGAAATTAGTGCAATGGTTTCGCCATGATATAATGGATACATTCCACGATCGTTCTTACTTTATGAATTAGACGCCTTGAGCGTCGATCTTTCTACCCAAGAAAAAAGATCGATGAATTTCGCCTTTAACCTGCAATCGCGGCTCCCCCTCAGTAACTTGTATAAAAATTAAAAAAGGCTTTCATTTTTGGAGTTGGACCTGGAACCCAGTTAGCCTAAATTAGTGCTCAATCTTTACTTACCATTAGCGGACTTGGATCAGCATGATAATAATATTACAGTTTCGGATTTGATGAAGGTTGACTTGTACTGAATCCATCAATCCAGCACTTCTGCTTCAAGGCCCAAGCCCAATAAAACGGGGCTGCCACCAATAAGCAAACCCAGACCCAGTAGACTAAAATGCAAGACAATATAAAACTTCGTCTACACAATTTTTTGGTAAATACAATATATTAGCCACAACTATTATGAAGCGGGGAATTATAGCCACAACTATTGAAATTCAAATTATTAGCCAAACGTTAACTATATGTTAACAATTTCGTTAGTAATACTGACTAAATTTTTATGTTTTCAAGTTATAAACTAAAAGCATTCCTACGTGGCCGCTGTCGTGGCCGATGACGTGGCCTTCTCCGTCAAAAAATCAATAACAGTAACAGACAATTAGCCATATCTTGACCTGCAACAATAATTATGGCTAATAATTTGAATTTTCATAGTTGTGACTATAATTCCCCATTTCATAATAATTGTGGCTAATATATTGTATTAACCCCAATTTTTTACACCTAAAAATACTTCCAGCAACCCAGCATATTCTAATTCTAATAGTATAGGTCGTTGTCAAGATTTGGATTCATATGGTCTTGGAATAACTTGTTCTTAAAAGCTAGTTGTAATATGATTATTGGGGAATTATCTAGTTTACCAACTTTGTTGATGGAGAGATTCAAACATTGATTTTAGGGCAATGTTTTTTTTATTCAAATCTTTTTCGGATTCTTTTTTATTAGCCAAATCTATTAAAATACTAAAAATTAACCAAATGTTAACTTTCAGTTAGCAATTTTGTTAGTAATATTGACTTGGCAACATGATACTGATTTGGAAGAGACACATGAAGGTCAACATTACAAAATGTTAGTATTTTAACTAAGAAAAGAGTTACAAAATTATTAACGATAACGTAAAAATGGCTATTATTTTGATTCATTACGAAAGATTTGGATAATTAATAGCATTTTAGTAGGTTTGGATAAAGTGAAAGAGTCTGAAAAGGGTTTTGATAAAAAATAGACATTACCCTACATTATTTTATGCAATTTATTGTAAAAACTCATTACAGATTGTGATTAAGTCGATTCTTAACATTTGGGTTGTGTTGAGACACATGAAGGTCAACATTACCGACATCATCTTTGGCAACATGATACTGATTTGGAAGAGACACATGAAGGTCCACATTACAAAATTTTAGTATTTTAACTAAGAAAAGAGTTACAAAATTATTAACGATAACGTAAAAATGGCTAATATTTTGATTCATTACGAAACATTTGGATAATTAATAGCATTTTAATAGGTTTGGATAAAGTAAAAGAGTCTGAAAAGGGTTTTGATAAAAAATAGACATACCCTACATTATTTATGCAATTTATTGTAAAAACTCCTTACAGATTGTGATTAAGTCGATTCTTAACATTTGGGTTGTGTTGAGGATTCAAACTCGAAATTTATAGAATAAAGAATATAATATTATATAAAAAATCAATTATTTTCAATAACAAAAATTGCAAAACAAGACATGGTAGAGAATATTAGTATTGTATTTTAAAAGTGCCATCTTCTTACTCATCACTCGAGAGGGAAAATAAAGGCAATAGTTAACAGCTTCATACATGTTCAAAATAAATTAAGCATAGAATTTGAGTGGCCGTAAGCTAATAGGCGGCGGTTCTACCGCAGTATTATTGACTTTCCCCTTGTATTAGTTTGATAATTATACGTAAGCTCTATGCTCAAAGAACATTTATATATTTCGTGGCTCCAAATTTGCCAAATGTCACTGTAAGTCTGTAACAGCTGAAGAAACTCCCTGTTGGATTTTTTCGGTTCAATGAAATTCACAAAATGAAATGTCAGTTCTCTCTAAAAACACTTTATTTATAGATCATTGATTAGCTGTGCATTTTTTTTGAAGAATCATCCAACCCAGCGGGTGAATGAATGAATGAATGAAGTGCTTATTCATCCAAGCAGATATGGTTTAAAAGATTCTCCCACAACGGCAAACGACGTAGCAAAATTTTCTATATTATCCTCCCAAGTCACTCCAGCTATACAACATACTAATACAATTATACAAACTCCATAATGCAACCATAAAGGCGTTACTTAATCTAATAAAAAACTGGTAAATTAATGTAGATTAGCAGGATAATCATAATTAAGGTCATTAATCTTCTTGGACCTCTCCGTTTCTTAATCAATCCCATCTTTCCAACCCACCAGCTCAGCGAAGTTCTGTTGGGTCGATTAATAATTGTATGTTGTTTGCTCAATATCACCTTGATAAGGGTTGGCATGGCCGTATAGATTACAATAAATAACCATATGAAATATTAACTGTACATCATTGATCAGCTACTGAAAATGAATTCCATTTATTTTTGTCGTTTATGGACACATATACCCCTGTGCAAAATTAATTCCAATTTGGCAACATGATCTGTGTATATCCTACCACATGTCACTTAATCTAGTTTGAATAAATCGTATACATTTTATGAATGTTGATGTTATGCTAATTAGTTGGACGGACAATTCATTGAAGAACGAATCGAACGTTATGAAAACTGCTCAATAACGTCTCTATTGAAAATGGTTACCCGGTTTTAAAAATCTGTATATTGTCGACGAGAGGAGCTGCGGAGTTTAAGCAGTCAAACAAGGCTGCGAGGGACTGAACTGAACTGGTTACAAGATACGATGAACCATTGTCAGAGTACTAGTCCAGTGCCAGTTTGTGAAGGAACCCTACGGACGTGGCATCAAGTTTATGGCTCGTAAATAGCACATCCACCATTCTACTGCCACGTGTCGCCAAAATGGCACGAGGTGCACATGCGTAGTGGGTAAGACCTATTGGATGGAATGGAAGGCCGGGCCCAACAGCAGGAGAGGGGGCGGCCCGGTCGGCTGTTGCATTCCGCAAAAATGTCAATTGTTCAATACACATGTCTATTCACTTCACTCGATTGATGCCATCATCCAATTACCACAGGGACTTTTCGATACCAGCTTTGCATGTTGTTGTGTAATTGTACAGTAACATTGGGACATTGGGACCGCGTACGTACCGAACACTGATTGCTCATTTCTGTCGCAAAAACCTTACCGGCTAAATCAACTCTCATAAACTGTGGTTGCGAAGAGATCAAAAGAGTTAACATAAGGGACATGATATGGTGCAACGATACAAAGACATGATTCTTTTAGCTTTGTGAAGGAATGAACCGGAATGACGAGTTATGACTTAGTCGGATGGTAGTCCATGGTAAATTCCATAGTCAAGCCAAAGTCTGCACTCCACTTCACCACTGCACTCCAACAGTGGCCGCCGGCCGGGCCTCCATTATTCTAACATGGGCGGTGGGTTTTTATGAACCGTTATCATCATTTTCATGACAACTATGAAAAGCACTCCCCCAAAAATGGCATTTTCCGACCAAAACGACAGCACATCTTCACCTAATGCAAAAAAACAAAACTCCATTTTCCTACCCATTTTCTTTTTCCGCCTCCCCCGCAAAAAATAATTGGTAATGGTCGGTCGTAGGATAACTCAAAATAAACCCCCTCCACACGATCCCCCCTCCTATAAAACCAACTCACCACTCTGCTTCCCCTTCTCATCCTTTCAAACAACTCCCCACAAGAAAAAAAACAGAGCTTTTCCGTGCAGATATTAATTCAGTGAGAGTGAGAGAAAATGGAGGGAAAGGAGGAAGATGTTAGACTGGGAGCTAACAAGTTCAACGAGAGGCAGCCGATCGGAACGGCGGCTCAAACCCACGACGACAAGGACTACACGGAGCCGCCGCCGGCTCCCCTGTTCGAGCCAGGGGAGCTCACTTCCTGGTCCTTTTACAGGGCCGGAATCGCCGAGTTCATCGCCACTTTCCTCTTCCTCTACATCAGCGTCCTCACCGTCATGGGCGTTGTCAAGAGCCCATCCAAGTGCTCCACCGTCGGAATTCAGGGCATCGCTTGGGCCTTCGGAGGAATGATCTTCGCCCTCGTTTACTGCACCGCCGGAATCTCAGGTCCCCTAATTAAAAATCAAAATCCAACTTTAAAATCAAATCAGTTTCAGCCAAAATTGAATTGGAATCTGACATCGATCGTTTTCTTACAGGGGGCCACATAAACCCGGCGGTGACGTTCGGGCTGTTTCTGGCGAGGAAGCTGTCGCTGACGAGGGCGGTGTTCTACATGGTGATGCAGTGCCTCGGCGCGATCTGCGGCGCCGGAGTTGTGAAAGGGTTCGAAGGGAAGCAGCAGTTTCAGCTTCTGGGCGGCGGAGCTAACTCCGTTGCCGGTGGGTACACCAAGGGAGATGGGCTTGGTGCTGAAATCGTCGGCACTTTCGTCCTTGTCTACACCGTCTTCTCTGCCACCGACGCCAAGCGTAGCGCCAGAGACTCCCACGTCCCGGTAATTAACGAATTGACCCGCCCAATTCGCGTTTTGTTATCGCTCTGTTTTTTGTTTGGATTGAAACTAATGGTGTTTTTGGTTCGATTACACAGATTTTGGCGCCACTGCCAATTGGGTTCGCGGTGTTCTTGGTCCACTTGGCGACAATCCCGATCACCGGAACCGGCATCAACCCAGCTCGGAGCCTCGGCGCCGCCATCGTCTTCAACCAGGACAAGGGCTGGGACGATCACGTTAGTTTTCCCGACACTTGATTCCTAAACCTTTTTAACAAATTAAGATGATGAATCAATAATCAAATTTTTTGAACTGAATTTGCAGTGGATCTTCTGGGTGGGCCCATTCATCGGAGCAGCGCTGGCAGCTCTATACCACACGGTGGTGATCAGGGCCATTCCTTTCAAGAAGTGAGGCCTTGAAGATCAACGGCTACGATTTGCTTTTGCTTGTGGTGCTCTGTTTTGATGCCCTGTAATATTTAATAAAAAAAAATCTCGTTTTCTTATTTCTGCAACTGAAGTGAACATTTTCTCCCCTTATGTGTTCTTATTTTCAAGCTGTGAGGGGGGAATATGCTGAGTGGTGAACATGGGTGTGATGGATGGTGGGCCCACAGCTTAAGCTGAGGGATGGGCCCCCAGTGTTTGTAATTATTTGTCATGTGGGCTGTGGGCCTGTGGCTATGGGCTCTGAGATAATTGAAATGAAATGTCGTTTTCCGTCTTTGCCGACCAGCAAAAAACCTACTACTCTACTCTCTCTCCCCTTATCTATCGTGACGACGTCCATTATTTGACTTCTCTTAATTGCAATTTGTTGCGCTGTGCTTTGCTGGGATTAGGTTTGGTGATGCATAATTAGGGGTTAGGTGGGTTGTTCCAGTTGATGATAATCGAGTTGTCATTAACTATTGATAATCGGGGCCATTTAGTCATTTAGGTTGGAGTTTTTTTATTGTGATTATTTTTACGAGAACGACTGTTGCATAAAATTGCACTGATATTCTCGGATTTCTTGAAGTAATACAATTTGTTTTGGAGATTTAAATTATTTTGAAAGGTTTTCGATAGAAGTAGATCATACATATTACTTTCTCCTCATATTTTCTAGTGCATGAACATTTATAAATATCGAAGTCAAACAACACTTTTGCACTATAGAGTACAAAACTGTATACAAAATAAATAGAAGGTAATAAACAAAGACTTATTACAAGTGACAATATACCGATAATACACGGACCTCAATTATTGTATCTTTGGTTTTTTTGTGTGTATATTGCTTATTAAAAGTAAAATAGAGACTTTCATTGATACTTAATAATAGACAGGCTAGCGCTAGTGCTTTGCAAAGTGGAGTCTAGATCGTTTGAAATCACTAGAGTTGAGAAGGGTCTGCCGAGTACTATCGGGATAAAGCCGAACCCACTTAGCTAGGTTTAGAATAGTGATCAAGAAAATGAATCATGAATGATCAATCTTAAATGTGAAAGAGGTGTCGACCAAATCTCTTGATTTTGGTACGCGGAGTTTGAGGTAATTTGATTTTTAACTTTGCCATGTAATACAATTTCAACATCTTTTGTTGTAATCAATCTTTACATGCCAATATAAATTTTGGAATTATTTAGCAAACATGTGTTGTAGAGTACAAGAATTTAAAGAAATCACGAATTTTACAGCAAAGATGATGGGAATTCGTGTGTTGTTAAGATTTGATGACTTGGCAAAGTTTTTCTTTTTTCGTATTTTGGTTGCAAGTTTGTGGTAGTTAGTGAATGGATTTTTTAAAGCTTTTAACTGTGGCAAAATATTTGTAGAATACACGTACCCATTGGCTGTGACATTATATAAGGTACAAACGATGTGATGATTGTACAAACATTAGATAGAAAGAACAATTGTATTATGAGATGTCATGTATAATGAAAATCAGTGGCTAAATGCCGCTGTGAATCTGATGAAGGAGGAGAGTCTCTTGAACATTTGTTTGTCCGTTGCCCTGTGGCTATTCGTCTTCGAGATGCAATTGGCATTCCTCTGCCGCTGGGTTTTGCCCCTTCTCACCATTTCGCTCTATTGTGGCGGAGTTTATTTTGCCATGCTGCCACGGATATCATCTCTGATTGGCTACTTCTCTGTTGGCGTCTTTGGAAAGGGCGTAATAATGTTGTTTTCTCTCCTTATGCCCAATTCACTGTCCCTGTTCTCCGTCGTCAATTCCTATCACATCGCGATTCCAACCGTCTTGCCCTTGCCTCTCCGGTCCCTCACCCTCCTCCGTCGTCACGCCCTGCGGTTCCTTCTGCAGTTTTTTCTGGTGCTTTTCAATGTCTACGTCTGGCGGTTGATGGTGCAACTTCTCCCCATCACTCTGGAGCCATTGGTATTGTCGGTTTGACAGGCATTGTTCCGACTTTTGCTTTTGGATCTTTTATTCGTGGGGTTTCGGATCCTGGCTTGGTTGAGTTGCTCGCTATACGAGAGGCTTTATATTTACTGCAAAGGTGGCATTGGCATGATCGGGATGTGTTACTTACGGGCGATGCCCAAGTGGTCATTGACAAGTTGGTATCGGGCAATTTATCAGATGCACGTGCTGGCGCAATCTATTCGGAGGTTCATGCATTGCTAGTCCAATTTCCAAAAGTTGTGTTGCGTTTTACTCCTCGAGATGCGAATCGGGCTGCCCATTTAGTGGCGCAACATGCCCTACGCTTTCCTGGATTACCTTATTTGTTAGTCGATTTCTCTTATTTGTTCTATTTGTCTTATGATAGGTGAGTATGCCGTTTGTTGTGGCTACCCTTATCCTTGCCTTGTAAATCTACCAAGATTTCTATGACAAAAAAAAAAATAAAAAATAAAAAATAAATGCCAAACCACCCAATGTTTTATGTGCAAGGAAAACCGAAGAACACGGAGCTTGGGCTGAAATAAAAGCCCAGAACAGTTATCGGCTGGACATGAATAGGTTAAACTTGAAGCCCAAATTCAATACATTTGGGTTTTCATATTTCCTAGCCCAATGAGGATAAGCGTAGAAATTTACGCAGGGCCTTAGCCCTTAGGCAAGCTGTAACTCGCAACTGCAAACTGTTCTGTTGTATTGCTCAGCGCCAAAAACCCTAGCTAATCGCTCCTTCTTCCGCTCTCCTTCTTCCGTCTGCCCCTCTCTGCTTCTATCGAGATCGGAAAAATGGCGACGGGCGAGCAGACAGTACTCCAATTCGCACCGACGGCGTCTTCGACTACCTTGTCGGCGAAGGTGCACCCGCTGGTCGTTTTCAACATATGTGACTGCTACGTGAGGCGGCCGGACCAAGCTGAGCGGGTTATTGGCACATTGCTGGGATCCGTCTTGCCTGACGGAACTGTTGATATCCGCAACTCTTATGCCGTTCCTCACAATGAATCTTCCGATCAGGTAATCCTCAGCTTACTTTCAACTTTCTGAATCAATGGGGGCTGTTAACGGGCGTAGAGTTTAGGTCAATCGAATTTGATGTTCTGAGAGTAGTGGATTCGGCAGATGGTGTGATGTAATACACCATCGATTGTCTGCGGTGAATGTTTGGATATGGGGGAATTATAGATTGAAATGAGGAATAACTATTTTGCGACTAAGTCTAGTGTTCACGGATAGTGGGATTTCTGGAGCTTAATGAGCTCTGCTGTTAGACGAATTCATGGCAGCTGTATTTGTGTCAGAGTTTCCTGTAGGTATGGATTGGAAGGGGCTGTTTCAAATAGACTGTAACTTTGGGGATGATAAAATACTTGACGTTTAGTGTTCCCTTCTCCTGGGGTTTTGCAAGCTGGAATTTTTGTTAAATGTTTTTTGCAGGCTGTATTAGGTTTCCTTGTTTGGTTTACCAGCTATGGTGTGTTTCTGATTTTAGCTTATGATAGTTTGCATGATTTTCTGAGCTTTTGTTTCAATATGCAGGTTGCATTGGATATTGATTACCATCATAACATGTTGTTGTCTCATCAAAAGGTTAATCCGAAGGAAGTTATTGTTGGCTGGTAAAATCCCATTTCTATGTTTCCCCTATATTTTGTTACTCGAGATTCCTTATTGATAATTTGATATGAAGCGCAATAGAGTTCCTATATGAGCTTTAGTGGTAATTTAATTAACTTTGCTGGTCAGAACTTTGAAAAACCCAACCTTGGGGCTGGAATTCCTGTCCTGTTAATACGATGGTTCTCTTTCTTTTACTATATGAAATCTGAGCCTGATAGGGATGTGGTTTTGCACTTTGTATTGCTCTCATATAGCGAGGTACATCTGTGTTAAATTACTGTTCTTTAATTATTGCACTTAAATCTAATTATTATCGTGCCAGGTACTCAACCGGTTTGGGAGTCAGTGGTGGGAGTGCACTTATCCATGACTTCTATGCTAGAGAAGTTTCCAACCCTGTTCATCTAACAGTTGACACTGGGTTCAGAATGGGAGCGCCTGCTATTAAAGCTTATGTGTCTGTTAATTTGTCCCTTGGAGACATTCAGCTTGCGGCACAATTTCAAGAGATCCCACTTGATCTTCGCATGATTGAAGCAGAGCGGATTGGATGTATGAATCCTCCTAACTGCACATATTGCTACAGATGATCCAAATGCAAAGTTTTGTTTGAGTAATGCCACTACCGCCTAATCTATATTTGTTATCCTCTTCTCCTTCTATAATATTTTGTAGTTGACATCCTGAAAACAACAATGGTCGACAAGCTACCAAGTGATTTGGAGGGGATGGAAGCCTCAATGCAGCGGCTACTTGCACTGATTGATGATGTCTATAAATATGTTGATGATGTGGTGGTGAGTTAAGATAGTTCCATCCATTTATCTCTTATTTCTGCACCCGGTTCAAGCCTCTGATGCAGTGCTACCACCTGCTTTCTTCCTTGTTCTCAGCAAGGCGTGACTGCTCCAGCTAACAGTGTAGGAAGATTTATATCTGAAGTCGTTGCCTCACTTCCCAAACTGTCTCCCGCTGTATTGGATAAGTTAGTCAATGACAACATGCAGGTAAACCCATTTTTGTTCATCTGAGAATAACACCGAGTATTTCAACACTTTATTATATAGTGGTTCTTGTTCCTGACCATGGTTCTTGTCTTGCCTTTTCACAGGACCATCTGCTCTTGCTATATTTGTCGAGCATAACAAGAACACAACTCAGTATAGCCGAGAAATTGAACACAGCTGCCCAGATTATCTGAAGAGCTCTCAGGGTTTCTAAGTTCTGGATTTTTTTTGACGCGTAATGACAGCATCGCCAGAGTTGAGTATCCAAATATGAGGAACCAATATCGATTTTGGATAGTGTGTTTTTTTGGGTCCTTTTTAAGTTGATCTCAATGATCCTGGTTTAGTCCTAATCACATCTATGTACTCTGTAGCCTGATGGTAAGAAGCTTGGTTCGTTGCATTGGTTTCGAGATTGTTGGTGTCTATAAGTACCTATTACCGTGGTACCCAACTGAATCTAAATGGATTTTTTTCCAGATAAGGGTGATATAGGTTTATTTTTTGTAATTAGGTACTGCTTAAGGGATTGAAACCCCATACTGGTTACTTTTAGTATGGCATATTAAGTTTCCGCACAATTTTAATTAGGAGTATAATTACAATTTTAAAGCCATGGTTCCTGGCTCCTGATCAGGGTATTCCCCTCAAGAAACGCTCCTTATTCCTCAACATAAATCTCATGGTGCGCAGCTTCCAGTCACAGGTAACAGGTCCGAGCTCTTCCAGCCATTGAATCCCAAGTATGATATCCCCTGCAATCGGCAGAGCGTACAGAGTAACCGAAACCTCCAACCCTTGAATATCCATCACCACCGCCGAGTATTTAGTTCGACAAGCCAGCTGCTCGCCGTTCACCGTTCCAAGTCTCAACGGTTGTACTAGCGGAGTTGCTTTCAACTGAAGATCGACTGCTAAACGTTCATTAATGAGATTGATGTTCGCCCCGCTGTCAACAAGCACGGTCACCTCCTTCGTCTGGTTAATCTTTGCGCGGAATCGAAGCGTAGCATGTGGGGAACTTGCTTCAAGCTTCGGTGGGGGAATCACTGCTTGCCCGAACGGATGCCGCAACTTCACCGCCGGGAAATGGTCGAGGTAAACGTCGGAGATGCTGCTTCCGGCGAGAGAAAGGCAAACCAAACTCAGGCAGAGCTTCAGAAACTCCATGGCTGTTTCTTCGGACACAATCTTTCCACAAGGGTTGAGAGCTGCTTCGTAGTGTGGCTGGCTGGCTGGCTGGCTCCCCCCTATTTAAATAAAATCCTTCGCCGCCTTATTTAATCCTTGTGTAATTAGGAGGTTTAACAAGTCCTCAGTTGGAAAGGAGAGGAATTGTGTTTCCTTTTAACCGTCTTTTTTTCTGATCCAGATTGAATATGGATTAACCATATATGCGGCCAGTTGCCAGAACAATTTGTTGAAGTCCTATTAATAATGATTCAACACATCCACAATAGTGATTTCTGACAATTTTGTTTCAATATTTTTAGAAGTGAATTGGCAGTTTATACTTAGGTTGTTTAAAGATCTTTAGGATGAAATCAATACCCGTTAGTACGAAATTATTATCTTGGTTAAGCACTACTCAATGGAAGAAACTGTATTCGATGTTGTTTCGATTCTGGTTATTTATATGAGTAGATTACAAATGAAAATGGTTATGGTCATTTTATACGAGCAGATTACAAATGAAAATGGAGATCCGTGATAGAAAGGAATAAACTTCCGAAATGGACAAAAAATGGTCTACATGACTACATCAAAAACTTCCGAAAGGAATTCACTATTCTATTATGCAAGAATAGTTAAGTTGTTTGATCCATCAATAAGTTATATATACAAACTCTCCATTATCTTTTTTTTACACTTGTCAAAAGTGCTTACTCATTGAGTCCCAACCAGATAATTAAGAAACCACATGCGAAACTCTACTAGAGAAATTATGGAAGGGATGCAGCTAGCTTAACCCTACTACACAAGCAAAATAAACTTTGTCATCGATTAGAACAAGATAAATCATCGGCAAACTCAAATTTCACAATGCTACTTTTGAATAAACCTATATGCCATAGAATGAATCAAATACAAATAGATAGTAATAAAATCTCAAACCTATTTGAATAATAAAATGAATCCATTAATATCGCAAATAAAATAATCGACCGTCGAGAGTGAGTGACATAACTAGGTTGAACCCTAGGCGGATCCCTTAGCCCACTCCCCAATCATCACGGTTCGAATCAGCCTCTCATCCATATCTCTAACTCCGCTACCAACCCGAGGAATTCACGAATTGCCCGTAATCAAGGTATTCCACGCAAGAAGTGCTCCTTATCCCCCGATTGAAACTTCATAGTTCGCAAATTCCAATCACAAGTAACGGGTCCGAGCTCTTGCAACCATTGAACCCCAAGAATGACATCCTCTATAATTGGCAGAGCATACAGAGTTGTAGAAACCTCAAACCCTTGAATGTTCATCATCACCCTCTTGTATTGAACTCGACAAACCAGTTCCTCGCCGCTCGCCGTTCGAACCCTGAACGGCTCAACTGGAGCTGCGCTCAACCCAAGTCCCATTGCTAGAACTTGATTGATAAAATTGCGTTGAGCCCCGCTGTGAACCAGCGCAAACACCTCCCTGTGTCTGATTCTCGCGCGAAATTTGATCGATTTTGCTGGCCGATCAAACCAATTTTCCATCACACTCGGCGGGGGAGGATTGGTTGCCGGGAGAGGAAGGTAAACCATACTCGGACTCTCGGAGAAACGCTTCAGAGATACGCCGGCGCCGGGGTTTAGGTGAAGAAGATTTAGTAAATAAACCCAACCCATAATCATGATATTTATTCGCAACCTGACTGAGTCCTTTTGTAACTAGAAGACGATTTACTAGTCCTAATCTGTTATTAGTTCCTAATTGCCTCGAAATTAATAACACGGATAAAAGCTCCCAATGGGCCCTCGCTCGCCAGTTGCTCGGGAGATCGATCTCTAGGAGTGCGTTGGTTAGGATATTGGCCCGTTGGGCTTGTGTGTGGGCCAACGGGGTTGGGCTGAGTTTTAAGTTGTGACAATTGGGATGGGATTATAGAGATTTTAATTTTGAGGATGGTAATAATTTGTGGTATCCTTAAATTAATTGGAGTTTGGATAATAATACAATACTCTAATCTTTTAACATGTGAATCTTAGTAGTTAATTCTCTAAACACAAAATTATCATGTCATTTTAATCGAGAATAACAACAATGATTCTTATTTGCCGATGTACATCTAATTATAGGTGTGAACCCATTCATATATTATGCACCTATTAGATAGGTTGCAATCACAACTACGGACTTAAATCTTAAACGACTACTACTGATTGTTCATATTTATCATTTATAACTTTCGATCAATTGATATGCAGTTGAAATTTAAGACGCAATTTAAATTGCATCAAAATGAGCAATAAATCCTAAATCTAATCTGCCTGTAGATTCTCACGTAGTTTTTTCACTTTGATATAATTTCCAACAAAAGTACTTTGAACCAACCATAATTTCTTCTAACACGGCTCACATTGACAAACAATATAAACAACATTTCGAGTTAAGATTAATAACATCAGTTTACGAATACATTGAACCAAACACCCCATTAAACAGAAAAATAAACATAAATGGATAGCTTTTCTTTGGCACCCTTTTGTCAGCATGAATCTGTGCAGTGTAGGCAAAAAGCACAACCCCACTTCCTAAACAGAAAGCCGGTTTAAGTGTGTCAGTGATCAATGATCTATGTGATCGATTCATTGGTGGGAGCAGTCCTCCTTATGATTGGGATCAAGAACCCCCAATTCCTCCTCATCAACCCTAGATTAGCTTGCTGCCGCCCACTATGTTTGGTTTTTTGCCTTCCTGTTGATCATCCTATAGAGGCTTCTTTTTCTTCACTACATGACAGAAACAGCATGATTCATAATAATGATCTTCAAGCACTACTAGTGAAGTACTCCTACAACTAAAGTACTCGATATGTACCAATTAGGAAGAATATGGTAGAGATAAATTTATCAAGTGTTATAATTAAGTAGTTGATATAATAATAATTCCCTACATGCTGTAGATTATTGTCCATGTCTCTGGAATTAGGGTTATAATGAAAATGGATCATATACTCTACATAAAGGTTTTGTGTGGTTAACAGAAGTACAAGTTAAATTTCTATAAGCGGTGCCATAAGTACCATGAAGTTTTATAATTTTTCAAAGACGTCGTTAGTGTTTTGTATATGTTAATTCGAAATCAAAATCGTACACAAATTTTTAGAGTATATCGATTGATATGAAACTTGGAAACATATTGAGACGATTCCATTTCCATGTTGCCTGCCACTGTTATTATAATGCTAAAAATATAATAATAATAAGGGTTAATATTTTCGTACGGCCTGAACTTTGACCAAAATAAACATTCTGGCCAATCTTTTCGATCTATAACATCCTGACCCGAACTATACACCAAAATAAACAATTTGGCCAGATCCGACTTTTGACCGTTAACTTGGACGGTCAAACGCGTTGACTGTTAGTCAACGCGCCATGTCACTGCGAAGTCAGCATAAAATATTTAAAATAATTCACAATTTCCACACATTCCCTAAGTTTAAATTATTATAAATTAAAAAAAATCATCTAATACCTTAGTTAAACCAAAAATAAAAAACAAAAAAATTAAATATTTATCAAATTTCTGACTTGGCAGTGACGTGGCGCGTTGACCTGTTAGTCAACGCGTTTGACCGTCCAAGTTAACGGTCAAACATCGGGTTTGGCCAAATTGTTTATTTTGGTGTATAGTTCGGGTCTGGATGTTATAGATCGAAAAGATTGGCCATGATGTTTATTTTGGTCAAAGTTCAGGCCATACGAAAATATTAACCCTAATAATAATAATAATTATTATTATCATTAATAATGGGATGAATTGTATAGATCATGCTACTCTACCTACTGTATTTTGTCGTTAACCTATGATGAGATCTTACTTTTGCCATGCACTAGTAGTTCATCAAAATATGTAAAAGCTTCCTTGGTTCCCTCCATTAGTGTTTGGCGACCTTCCACTATCATGCAGACTGAGGGGGGGAAAAATGGGGGACAGGAAAACTTGGATCGGAGCCCGACCTGGCTTCCTTTCCTGGCTGCGCTTTTGATCGATTATCATCACTTTTGAGCCAAGCTCTAGATAGATTTCACGCGTGCATGCCCTTCTTCTTCTCTCCCTTTTTACGCTCACTAATTTAAATGCCATCCTAGTACATTGTTTTTTTTTATAAGACCCCAAAATCCTGAATATGTTTTACTGCTTAATAACATGTTGATGACAGGTGATTCAAAACTTTTCTTACTTAGTATTTTTCTCGAGAATAACGGCGAGACTAATAATCTTCAATTGAAAATAACTCTCAATCGGTCCAATCGAATCGTGGTAGTGGGAGCAAAGGAGTGGTGGTGTCTTTGAAGCAATGAGCTGCGATATTGCTGCTACAAAGAATTTTGGATATGAAAGAGGGGAAGGAAGGAAGGTAGGTTTCCCA